ACAGATAGCGAAACACGCTAATACTGTTGAAAGAGGAAAGTTTTCATTTTCCTCCTGGCTTAACCCTTCAACGAAAATTATTTGACTTTCTTTTGCCAAAGCGTAAAATAGTAAAATATTTATAAATTCCCATAAAAAAGAGTATTTTCAATGTGTTATGTGGAATTCCTTTCATCGTTGGGGTTGGGTATGACAAGTATTTATTTTCACCAGAGAATTTTGGTTTTCATATATTTTAACTTAATTAGTAGTTTTTGCGGTATAACTTATTTCCATGTGTGCCATTTATTATTATAATCTAATTTTTTGTTTTTCAGTTGAAAGATTTTTCTCGCATACGAGAAACCGTATGGTTTGAAGAGATGATGCTGTAAAGTTCCAATTTATAAAATAATATAGTTAGATTTTAATGGTCTTTGTTTTAGTTAAATTTATCGCAAAAAATCATATCTTTTTTAGCAGCTGTAACAATAGTACTAGATTTTTCTACATAATAAATGAATTTTTTATTTACCTTCGTATTCCCAAAATATTCATTTTTTAATTCAACTAAATTTTATTTAAAATATAAGCTGAATTTTTTACCCGCAAGCATTGCAATAGCCAAGTTCACTGCAAATTTGGTATAAAACATGTTTTATGGACTATAAAATTTGAGTATTAAGCAAATTGCATATAAAATTGTGGTATCTTGTACTCGTGCCAGTTGTGCCACCATAAGTCTGCCTTCCTGCATATGTTTATTCCCACTAACCCATATGGTAACCGAACAAATTTTAATAATTAAATATTTTTATTATTGTTGTTTTTGTTTCTTCTAACATTTTATTGTTTCTACAGAACCATATATCACATAAACTACTACCGAAAAAAAATCTTCGATTAGCTGCTGCCAGTGTAGCACATCCCAAACCGTTAATATTTGGTTTATGGTTGGCTCGTGATTTTATTTGTGCAATAATCGAAGTTATTAGAGTGCTTTTAGCAATTTTTCACAACACATGGCTTATATGTAATTGGTTCATTTAATTCTCTTTTGCAATATTGCCAAATAAAATAAATCTAAAATTTTCAGAAAGACAACCAATCGTTACTCTCATACTTCTATTGGTAAATAGCTTTTAAATTACTTTTATTATTTGAAACACCAAGCAATTATCTAGTTTATCTTACTTATGAAGAAGTTTATAATATAGTGCGAATTAATTGTTAGTTTTATAGTTGGAAAAACCACTTGCATGTACAGTAGTACAATACAGTACAATCAACCATGTGCAATAGAGCGGTCACACATGACGTATGAGTGTTATGTATTCGTTGGTAACATAAACTTCTTCTTAACAAAAAGAGTTATAAATTTTTAAATGTATGGTTTAGGTTTATTGTTATTATTTTTATTTTATTATTTATTTTATACCATATTTTAATATTATATGAAGTTAAGAAAAGAAAAAATTAGAATTATTATAAATTTGGTTTTTATAATAAATAATATAATAAAGCTTTAATATTTAAGCTCATTGTTAAAAGTCAATACTATCTTCTCTTTACATATTATAGTACTTTTTGGGCTAAATTAAATTAGCTCGAATTTTTATTACATATGCTGTATATGTTACAATGTTATGTCAATTTAGATGATCTAAACTTCGACCTAAAGATCTTTTGTGTGCACCTTTATGAGCTTTGAATACTTTTCTTAGGATATTTTCTTCAATAAATTCTTCAAAAAGTAACAACTTCTTTCTCATGACTTATTTCTTCATCCGATATATCATCCGATGTATTGTTTGTATCTTGAATTTAATCCATTTTACATATTTATTTAATTTTCTAGTTCTCTCATTAATTAAGTACATTTATATATATATATATATTAACTAAATTTTTGGTTAACAATATAGCCGTTTTAAATATCGCCAGATATCCGGTATCACTAACCTTTGGAGATATTTTATGTGCCATTGAACACGTAAGACTACATTTCATTTGCATTAATCAAACCCATGCCGCTGCAATTGTGAATTTAATTTTTTTTTTGGTTATATATCTTTATTGGAATCCACTTTTAATTTGTAAATAGAACGATTTTATTTTGCTTTCTACAAAGAAATTGTTTTTACGTTTGAAAAAAAATAATACATTAATTTTAAAACAAAACATTTTTCGAGAACTTGTAACAAATATTAGAAATTACAATGTATCTGATAGTGTTTAGAATTTTTAAATCTAAACTAATATAGTAATATAACTATATAAAAATTAAATTAAAATATATATATATATAAATCGTGAATCCAAAAATATTCAATTCAAAAATTAGCATTAATATATAAATTTATTTGTTAAGACTTATAAAATAATGTTAATTCTTATAAATTATTTATATGTACCTATTTTATATTTTATATTAATATAAAATCTATATAATTATAAAATAAATTTGTATATTAATTAAATTATGATTACTGCATAAAATATCTTTCTAGTCGTCGTGCATGTAAGCCTATCTATAAATCTATAATAATAATTATATTGTGATTAAATTAATTAAATTGACACAAATGGTGTCATTAACTCCAAATTTTTTTTTTTTTTTTTGGTTTGGCAGTAGGTGGAAGCATCGAAAGCCACCCACTAAACCACTTCTTAGGAATGAATGGCGAAGATTTCCACAGCATTGTGAAAACTTCATTCCAGTAATCAGGGGAAAGAGAAGAAAAAATAGACTTAGTACCTAGCGAGCTAGATTTATCTAAGCCAGAAAGCAAGGGCGTACATTAGGGAAATTGGGTGGGTTAGAAATTGAAGAAGGGGTGGGTTAGAGCAGATGAGCGGGGGCGAGGTTAACGGTAAACTTTGTGACTGAGGTCACGATAGCCGCGGTTATATAGGGGAATGGAGTGTAGGTTACGGTCAAAATTTCAATTCTGTTGTTCTTTAATTATATGGACTAATTAACTAAACGAAATATATCTAAAGACGACTGATTATGGGTATTGGGCAATACTAGAAATAGCTTTATTTAGAATCAAAAAAATCCAAATAAATCCGTTAATTAAAAAATTAAATTTTTGTTTTCATTTAAAAAGCAAAAACAATTAAAAAATTTTTTTTCAAACCTTTCCATTTTAAAAAATAATTCCTTTATAGTCATAAATTACTTTAAAAATTAAGTTTAAGTATTAATAATTGTTAACAGCATTTATATAGCTGTTGTTTATATGCGGATAATTTATTTATTTATTTGTGAGTTAACATTAAACTTAATTTTAAAGTTAATTAAGAATAAGGAACCGGACTACTTGGTCCTTCGCCATGTGCTTAATATACGGATAATTAAAATCAATAAATGCTTGTACACGTCACTGATGATAGATATTCGGTAATATCTGATAGAATTGTATAGGTTGTCAAACAATTCACATAAATAAAAATTAATATATAATTCTTCTCATTATATTGTCTTATTATTCGCTTTAATTATTCTATAAGTTAATTTAATTTAAATTTAAAATATTTCATCTTAAACTTAAAATCCCTTTTTTTTTCTTCAAATAATTTAAATTGGTCATATTTTTTTCAATAAACAAAACATTTAACTAATATTTACTGTTGATATTTGTGAAAGATTTATTTATTACTTCTTAATTGCTATAGATTTATATATCTGCAATATATCATAAGTGAATAAGTAGCTGCTATTTATTTATTGAATATTCATTTGGATATTTTTGTATTTATTTAAACTCAAGGCAAATTAGTTTAAATTTTACTTACATTCAAGCTGCACTCATGAACTAGAACCAGACAAGTATGCAAAATTGAAACAAATTGCTGCTCGTATAAAGCACAATTAATTATTTATTTTTATGTAGATTTGTTTTATTTGTATCTCAAGTTTTAAAATATTATATTTCCATTAAAATAAATTCAATTTATTCTAAATTCTATAGAATTTATGTTCTCAATGTGCTGTGCGCTTAGTATTGAGAAACTTAATCCAAAATTTATTTAAAATTGATGTCCCATGATACCACTTTAGTACAATTTATTTCATCTAAAAAAAAGTTTGGGTTTTACATTTTTTATGTTTCATTTTAATATAGTTCTCCATAATTTTTTCATATAATATAAATTTTGGACGTTTTATGATTCCTCTGTGGCGCAATTGGTTTGTGATTTTTCAAATTAATTTCTTGATTTATATTTTAGTGTGTTTTTTGAGAAAAAAGAAGTGATTAGTTTGCTTTCCTCGATTATAATAAAAATAATATAAATGTTTTGTTGAACTTCATTGCGTGCCATTGTAGAATTGATCTATATATAAAGTACTTTTAAATAAATATTAATACTTCATAATGAAGTATTAATGCTACATTACGCCAATTACGTTTGAACTGCTCAGGTTTCCTATTTACTCTCAAGGGACTATTGCCAAAGTATTATTTCGCTATCAAGCTGCAGTAAAAGATTGTTCTGTTTTAATCCATCAATAAAAACATGAAACGGTGGGTATTAATTAAATCAAATGAAATGCTTATTATAAAAGTTTATCCTTAAAACTGGTGCTCATTAACTCCATTAAAACTGTCATTTAATGGTTTTTCTGCAGTGAAAGCTGCAAATCCTTTTCGTAATCCTTTAGGTAGAAAAAATTAACTTATGTAACTTATTGTTATATTCTGTATTCTTAACTTATATTGCAAAAATGTTGGTAAATTGATTAATTTATTTTAAGAGCATATCATAATTGTAGAATATATTGTGTGTACTTATTATTTTCCCATTTATGTTATAAACGTTGCCGTTATGCTGGCTGTAATGATAGGAATACATTTCAAAAATAAAATAAAATTCTCATTTCCATTAAAAACCATACAATCTTTTTTTAATAATTTCTTTTTAAAATGGATCCTTATAATTACATTGTTTTTTTTGTTTTGTGTTTTTAACTGAATTTATTCATTAAATTTTATTCTGTGAATTATATTTTACAGGTTTGTGCACTATCAAAACGTGGCATGATGCTCCAACCGGATTTGCTTTCGTACAGTGAACCTATTGTAGCATCTGGCGCCATAGCAGCTGCTTCCGCTGTGGGCTCATCGAGCAATGTTTTGGGTGTACATCATCATCAGGGTTCACAGGGCATGGTGGCGGCGACGGCCACTTCGTCACTTAATACAAAATTAATACAGCAAAATGTTATTATTGCCAGTGTTGGACTAAGTTACGAAGATGTGTTGAATGATGATTTTCAGTTTGACATGGACGGGCATGATGTGATGGTATTTTTACATATACAAAAAACTGGCGGTACATCGTTTGGACGTCATTTAGTGCGTGATTTGGATTTAAAGGTGAGTTTTTTTAAATTTAATTTTTTATGCTTGTTCTTTTTAATTTCATTTTTCTTAATAAAACCCTTTTTTATTTATTAATATTTCTGAAACAACTTTACACTTCACTTTAATTTTCAAGAAAAACTCATTTTAATTTATATTTTACTTATATGCATACATATTAGGTTCTATTTATTTAACTTGGATGCTATTCTATATCTTATGCATTGTACAACACACATAGTTTGTTTAATTTAATTTTATTATTTTATGTACGTTTTCATTATACAAATAAATAGTTGTTGTATTGAAAGTATTTAACATTCTCCGCAATTAACCTTTGTGCTAATAATTAAATATTTCTGTCAAAAAGATTTCTACCAAATCCTAATAATGTCTACTAACTAAACTCCCTAAATCAAATCATTAATGTTTTTTATTTTAAAAATTACAATATTATAAAGTAAATAAGCTTTGATACAACTAATGTTAATTGCTTAACCAACGAGTGTACATAAAAATTGATTTTTTTTATTTTAAATGCAAGATGATCATGGGGTTGCTATCATTGCAATGGTCTATTGCGGCCTAAGAAGTAGTGAAGATGACACGTTTCCTCGTTTATATGCTTCTTAAACCCAATATAATATTCATGTGGTTGTTTGCTGATATTCTCTTTAATCGTTATTACATTGAATGGCGATGTATACCAGAATTTCTATTGTACCATGGTGCTCTCAATCAAATTTAGGTTCTGTTTACTAGCTCAGCCCCGTAGTTATGTTACATAATGCTAGACCGATTTTAGTATAAGTATAAGATTAAGATCTTATTATAGATAATAGTGAAAAAGGATTGTTCTAGTGTTCTTATATATTGATTTTTTAAAATTGATTCTCTTGGAAATACGCACTGTTCCAATTGTTGATAAATCTGCTACCATACAATTTATTTATCAAGTTAAGTACTATATAATATAATAATTTTATTAAAGTCTGCCATAATCACAATAAATTCTTAAAGTTTATATTTCAAAAATCGTCCGAAATTTGGACTATAAAATAATGTTTGCCCAGTATGCACCACACAAATTGACTGACGACTTAAAACATTACTCGTCGATCAAAACTTGTAACTGATTTTTTAGAACCAGATTTTTTCGCTAATGCTTAAACGTACTGTGAACGGATTGCCATCCGAAATGCTTGAACTGGGACTATGAAGAATTGGCACGATAGATTCGATATAGATATTCGTTCTTCGTTTTTAAATAGACAATGTCCACATTTTGCTATTATGTCAATCACGGATCCATATTACCGACGCATGTTATTACCAATAGATGGACTCACTATTTGTAAATAAGTTTTCAAATTAAATTTCTCTATATACTGAGAATGTTTAATATTTTCAATTTTATAAATTCGTATACTTCATCTTTTTTAAAATAATATCTTTAGAATTTATTATCACTGATTTTCTTATATGTGAAATATGATATTTAATTTGAAATTACTGACTTATGTCCCGTCTATGGTATACTAAATAATACTTAGACAAAATTACAAGCCCAATTAGAGACGGCTACACTGCCCAATTAGGGACTTTCTTTAACGCGTGTCTACTGTTGTAGCTGAATGTAAGAGGCGGATGAAACTCATCTCTTTCATTGCCCAGTACTTTCATTGCACAGTACTACATTGCTTGTATGCCCGAACCCATTCTGTGGCTTGGAAAAATGTAATTCCTTTCACTCATTCAGAAAGAAGAGAAAAAACAAAGAAAGGTATATTGTAATAATCTACCAAAATATCATAATTGAAATCGCTTATATGGACTTTCAACGTAAAATGTTTTATAGATTGTATGTCAATAAGTAAAAATAATTTAAGGACCATTAAACGAATGCTATTAAGGTAATGTAGGTTTAAGTATACCTTAAGGAATTTGGTACTTATATAATAAAACTATCAGGTTTTGTAGAAAATAGAATCAAACTTTAAAATATGTACTAGAAGTTCCCCTGGCGCTGATAAATAAAAGAATTACCTAGGTGGACATCTTATATCGGGTGAAGAAATAGAACTTTGTAATTAAACTTCAATACTACAAGTTATAGAAAAAAATTCACTAATGAAGTAGTTATTTAATGATACTCTATGAAAGGGGCACAATAGATCTCTAGGTCGCAGTACAAATTCCACAAGCGTAATAATAATAATTATCATTAGCATAAGCACTAAAACGACAAGATAATTTATGGTGCTTCCTTGTCTTGTATGTATGTATATATACTTATGTATATGTATGTAGCATCGCAATGAACTCAATCCTTGAGCATACCTTAGTCCATCTTATTTGTATAAGATGAGCTGCCACATGTATCTAGCTACTTACCTAACAAAAACAGATAGTTATTGCCAAATGTGTTAGTGCTTTAATTGAGTAAACTGTACATATTTTATGAAATACATTTATAAATTATTTAAGTTGATTTCAATTTTATCATATTTATATATATATCTTAAATATATTTTTGTTTTTAATTTAATATTTAACTAATTTATAATAAATAATTTATAAGGCTTGTTCAGGTTTATTGTATAATTATTTGTACAGTTTTTATTTTAATGAGATCTTTGTTATGTTTAAATTGTTTCGGATATTTATAACATACTAAAATGTTTAAAAAAATACTTTGTATGCACGTAACAGCTTTTCAGTTTAATTCCTATTAAATTACAATAAACAAAATAACAAAAAAAAATTGCTTAACAAATTTAATATTTTGATCTTGGCACAATAAAAGCTATAAAAATGCATAAAAGTTAAATTAAATTTACATGTGATGTGCATTTACTGCAAAGCAAGTTCAAATAATACATTTGAATATCAATTAGTATGTATTTCAATTTGCATTCGAAACAATCTCAAAAGTAGCTCATTTGTATGCAATTCCTCAATACGTCTTCATGCATTTTTGACAGAAATGACAATACTGAAGAAACCACAAACATTCGTTAAATGTTTCTGCTTCTCTGCAATGTACAATAGAAAAACAAAACAAAACCTCAAGACTTAAGTCTGCTGTTTTGTGTCTTATGTCTTCTGTCTGGTTTCAAGCTTCGTTAACAAATTTATTTATTACCTGTCTGCACCGAAATGCAAGCGAAGCACTTCATCTACAGACAGTCCCAATGTGTTGCAGATACTTTTGTTCATGAATGAAACATTAGATTTTGCAGTTTGTTTAATTTTAATACCGAGTATTTTGACATAATTGACAAATTTATGAGTATCGTTAAGCCAGATTTGCATATTTATTTTATTAATAAAAATTTAATTTTATACTATAAATGTATCTTTCACTTCCCAAAGTTTTGTTGACATTTTGTGATTTGATATTGAAATGAGAAGAAAATTGAAAAAATATTTAAAAAGCTAAGCTACCTGATGTTGTTATCTTGCAAATAATAAATAAATTTTTTTAATCTTCCTCTTCTTTTAATTTTCTGCTTTATTTTTATTTTTCACTTCCCGATTTTTTTTTTTTACTTCACAACATCCTTTTTTATCTGCTTTTTTTTCGATTTGTACACCACAAATTTTACTTCGTTTCTATTTTAATTTGCATACTATTAAACAATAATAAAAATTATAATACCTTTCTGCCCCTCTCAGCGTCCTTGCGAGTGCCAGCGGCAACGCAAACGTTGCTATTGCTTCCGTCCGCATCGCAACGAAAATTGGCTCTTCTCGCGCTATTCGACAGGTTGGAAATGTGGCTTGCATGCTGATTGGACAGAACTGACAAGTTGTGTGGACGTAGAATTGGATAAAAATGAAGGTGAAACTGCGAAAAGAAGATACTTTTACATAACCCTGCTGCGTGAGCCGATCGCACGGTACATGTCAGAATACCGACATGTGCGGCGTGGTGCCACGTGGAAGGGTTCAAGGCATTGGTGTCTGGGAAGACAAGCTAGTGCAAGTGAGTTACCGCCTTGCTATAAGGGCAAGGACTGGCTAGATGTGGATTTAGATGAGTTTGCTGCATGCGAATCAAATTTGGCAGCAAATCGTCAAACACGCATGTTGGCCGATTTGGCATTGGTTGGATGCTATAATAAATCATCTATGCCAGAGCATGAACGCGATCGTGTCATGTTAGCGAGTGCGAAACGAAATTTAGCAGCGATGGCATACTTTGGTTTAACCGAATATCAAAAGGTACAGTAAAAACTTTTTTTTGCTCATCAAACTTCTAATAATAAATTAAATTTTTATATTAATTTTTAGATCTCGCAATACATTTTCGAAGAAACATTCAATCTTCGTTTTGCAATACCATTCGAACAACACAACACCACAATTTCAGCTTCAGCGGTTCACAATTTGAGGCCGGATCAAAAAAGGCATATAGAGCAACTGAATAGTTTAGATGTTGAACTATACAGTTTCGCCAAAAATTTACTATTCCAAAGGTAAGTTCTTGAAAATTTGAATTGTTTTGAAATATATATACAAATAAAGATATGTATACATATCGAAATAACCATATAAGTGATAAAATTTATTTATATATTTATAAACCTAAATAATGTAAGGTTATCCATTTTGTGGTTCTAATGTTATAGCACAGTGCTGTATAAACAACACAACTACCTACAACGGCATAATGTGTTCAGCTTATGGTTTGCCCTTTCACAATATGAATCCTTTAACAATCGTATTATGTGATAAAATCGGACAACTTACTTCAAATAGAGTCACAATTTTTCATTAGTAATGAGGCTCATTCTTTCTTGTTAGGCTGTAAAAACTCATATATATAGTAACTGTAAAAAAGTATTTGTTTGGTGGGATATTTGGTTTGCAGATCTAATAGCACCATATTTTCTTGCAAAGGTGTGACAAACTTTCACTTTTAATCGCTACAACCACGTAGGTTCCACTTTTATTTTTAACGTGAAATTGAAGATATAAATATGTAGCTTTATCAGAAAGTTTTGTTGGTTGAGAAATTTGAGTAATTTCACTTGATTTCTTTTATAGGCTTATGTAAAGAATTGTGTTTCTATGACGACTAGAAATGCTACACTCATTAAGCTATGTCAGAGCTTTTGCCAGATATTTACTGAGAAGTCATTCAAAATTACCTCTAGTATCCAATATTTTGTGGAGACAATTTTAATAATGTATTGGCTAGATTTAAACAATATATTGAAGTAAATGTTTGATCCAAATCTAAATCACAAGTAATTTTTTTACGTTCTCTTTCAGAACCTTATATTCTTCAAATTATTCTTCAATCAAGTTAAAAAAAAAACTGTTAATTAAGAAATTAATTAATTTAGAAGACAATATACTCGTAAATAGTAGAGACTCAAGTTTTAAGTTAAAACTTAAAATTTTGTGATCTGGCTTACAATACAATACGACCAGATCTCTGTGTAAATCTACATATATCAAATTCTGTGACGCATTTATTCTATAACCATACACTTCGTTTAGAATACCCTACATGCATCCAGATAATTCGTACAACCACATATCCATCAAATAAATTGGATACCAGAAGATCAAACTTGCTGATACAGCTTTAGAGGATCTTCGCACTTTATTGAGGTAGGGTTAATTATAGCATTGATTAGATTAACTTTTAGCGTGATCCTCATTTCGTTGAAATCTACACAAATTAACTTGCTGGTATTTAATCTCTGGTGAGCCATTACCTAGCAATTTATTACGCCATCAACTGACGTTCATAATCTTTTTTGGTGACATTAATAGTTTCACTCATTCTGTTGGTTGGAGTTATATGGGTGATTCCCAGAGAAAGATCGTAAATTTTTAAAAGATAGCAGAATGGGATATACCTTTATGAAGTATTCTAGTATTAAATTTATTATAGTTAGGACCCAATGAATATTCTATAGAACTATTGATTATATTTAAAGGTTTTGTTTTTGTACTCCATTATTTTTATCTTAAGTCAGATCAATCTTTGACATATTATTTGATCTTGTTTTCTCTGTTAGAGATCATACTTGATGCCAGCAGCTACTTCATAATGGTTAACTATAATCAGCTCTAATAAATATTTTGGTCATATGGTACTTATTTTTTATCGTTATCAAAAAAGTTTTACCGTAAACCATATTTTGAATAGTTTGCATAAATGTTTTGCATTTTACATAATTTTTTTTTTTGCTGCTTCTTGGCAATTAGTTACCAAAATTCTCTCTAAAGAAGTTGTAATCCTTTTATATATTTTTTGGAGTAGGTGGTGGTTTTTATGTATGCTTATATCAGTATCTGTTTCTTATATTCTCCAATGCTATACACATCTTTAAGTAGTGCTTAATGTTGCTTCGATTTTCTTTAATTTCTAATGCACAATTATCAAATCTATTGTTAATTGTGATGCGTAAGAATAGATTTAATATAATTAAAAAATAGACATTCATAAAAAGACAATATTTTAAAAATTGTGGAATGCTTTTTATCTTATTAGTACGCAAATCCACAACTGTAAGTAGTTAGAGTTATCTGAGCGTTTTTATTATTTTTTATTTGAGAATAAATTTATTTTTTTTCGATATGAGTAAAACTATCCAGTAACAACACACTTTACGATACATTTAAGTATAGAAAAGTGCTTTTAATTTTACTATCCCATATAATATTTATATTCTTTATAAAGTTGTCATTTAATATTATTATTCCAATTCCCACACTTTGGTTTCTTTTTTTTTGAAATGCATTATACATAATCTTATAAGTGGTTCGAGTCTCGAATATATCACATATAAATAATGAATTTAAATTCAACTTACTTTTAGTTTGAAATGCCTTTGAAGTTTATATGCTTTAAGTTTTTTCGCTGCAATACACCAACTTAATAAAACAAAAACAAAATTATTTGATACTTACAGCTAATTGATTTCTTTTATTAATTTTACCAAACTTCTGATTGTTATTCATAATTGAAAATGATTAAATTACAAAGTAAATAAATTATGTTTATCTGACCTCTTCATGTTTATCTTTTTTACTGTTTGCTATTATAATGATAATAATCATTAATAATTAATGCTTTTACATTAATGAACTTTTTATTTATTTCTCTTATATCCTTTTTCAATTGACCTTTACTCACGTAATCGCATACATATTACTAATTAAATTCTTAATATGTTACTCAACTACTTTATATACGGTGATTTATAAATCAATTTATATTATTATTAATGCCCAAACCTCCAATCATCTTTATACGATTGGAAATTTGTCATTACCTTGCTTAAATAACCCAACAAGTAGGTTATCCAACCAAGCCTCCAGAATGTCGCTAAATAGCAACAAACGGATACAGTGATGATGGTCACTGAAACATAGATATAAATACTTAACCCTACACAAATTTATGATGGATAATTTGCCCCAACACAAAATAAATATATGCACAAAAAACTTTACATGCTAAATAAATAATACATATATATACACTAACTAAAAACTAAAAAGCTAAAAAACTGCAAATTGCAAACTTAACTAAAAAACTAAATAAAAATGTTATAATTATGCCGAAATATAAATTATGTAATAAAAATAACAACTACTGGTACACACTATATAAACTTGTAGACGTCAAATTTGTCAGTAAAAAAGTGAAAAAGCTTAAAGCAATTCCTTGTGTTGGTCAAAAAACCACCAGAAAACAGTTCTCTAATAGTTTCCACTAACGCGTTTCGCCTGGTAACTAGCCAGGCTCATCAGAGTGGATTGCAAAAAATATATAGTCTGTATTCATTATGTATTGTCCATATTCATTGTGTAGTGTCCAGATTCCATATCTATAACCTATACATATACCCATCATAAATAACATATTTACCTATGTACCACTAACCTCCTATGTTAATACTGTCACCAATAAAAACCATTATATACGGAATAAGAAAATAAATATTAGCAATTATATATATATAAATCTAACAATATAAAACATTTTTTTATTTATTTAAAAACCATTATCAATATATTATCTCATACCACCTACACAGAAGCATGGAAATCAAACTTTACCAAAAACTATAAATTCACCCCACTTTATAAACAGTAAAAAAATATATATATATTATAAATAATTAACCCTATAGTTTACATATATATATGGAACCACCTTATATCTGGATTACATAATTTACTTAAATCGCAAACATTAAATAATTGGACAAATTTGTAGTTATATCATTCACTTACCTCCAAAACAATTGGAAACACTTACTTGAAACAATACTGAAAATTACTGGAAAAACCACAGCTAACTCCTAATTATACAGTTTATCCATACCACAATCAGTATACACTTAAACCTGACCAAAGTCATAAATCCAAAAATACCTTACCTTACACTTTCATTATTTCAAAAAACCTATTTGTCTTCACTCCCACGTGAGACTTACATCTCATTATTATAAAACAATTTAAATCACATTCACTTTTCTTTCACTTTTTAACCTATATCTCCACTATCCATCAATTTTAATAATATAATTACTACTAAGCTTATAAAACTTAGCATACTCCCCATATGTTTTTCATTGTATATTTACCCAATGCAAAAACCTGTTTCTCCACATTATATTAAATCACACCTGCCAACTCATCTTTCTTATTCCCATTTCCCCACCTTCATACCTTACACTTTCTACCTTTTTTCCAAAGTTATATGCCCTGCCTTTTACCTATTTCAAAAAATATATGCGCCACGCATCTTGCGCCTTATTCCACTTATTATTTTTGCACATTGCATAAATCTTTTAACAAAAACTGGATTACTCAACTTACTGTTATGAAAAAAATTTTTTATCCAAATATATAAACTTTGAAAAAGAACACCCTTGAAAACCTAGTCATCATTCTTACTAAATACCATAAATTACAAATTCATAACTCAAAATACTTCACACAGAACAAAACCCAAGTTATACATGGTTTTTGTCTGGGATATTTCTCATGAATTGCAATTCCCAAAATCTTTACCACTTTTCCTTTTCCTGTTTTACTACTTTGTATCCATCCTTTTCCTGTACGCATGCTCTTTTGTATTTCTTATAGCAATTAATCACTATGTCCATCTCATCTAAGATCATTTCCTTATGTGCTGCTTATTACTTCAGTCATTGTTATTAAAGAAGTGCATTCCTAAGGTGCGAAGTATTTTTTATTTCTTAACAACCAAAAAAATATATTCATCATATAGAAAAGAATATATTCAACACATATAAAAAAATCCGAAAATTACACATTCATCACCTATATACAACAATTCATCTCATATATAAAAGCGCCATAAAACAATGGATACTCATACTCCAATTTCACAAACAAGCCAGCCAGGTACGCATCATACATCACATTTTATTATTTTCGCTTATTCATTTTCTAATTTCCTATTTATGCCCACTAGGTGTTC